GTGTAGTCCGGGCCTTAGTCTTTGCAGGTACGACCCCATCCAGAATCTTGTAAGGGCAGCTGTTTTGGGGTTTCTGGATGGGGCCATGGCAGCCCTGATCCCCAGCGACGCATATCTGCTCTTTAAAAACAGGCCAAGGTCCGGCACTCCTTTTCCTCCTTTTTCTCTGGGTTTTTTCATTGTCTCCCTCTTGAGTCTCTCCGACTTGGTCCCCCACAGGAAATAAAAAATTGTACGGTCCAGTTCTAAAAGCACATGTCTAGGAGGGATAAAAACAGAGCCAATCAATAAAAGCAAAGGTAAAATCACTGCCTTAATAATTAAAAACCTTCCCTTCAAAAGTCAGTTGTCGTTGTCTCCAGAACCCCAGTCTCTGTCTAACTTTCCTTACTTTGTCTGGCCAATTTGTTTTTCCTCCCCCCTCCCTGTCGAATTTTACCCCAAGGATTTTCTGTTCAGTCTGGGTCACAGTCAGGGGGAGTCTAGTCATTTCAATTGCCATCCAGGGTCCGTGAAATTGGGCTTGGGTTTTTTGTCTGTTGAGTCTTGATCCAGAGGCCCGTCCAAAAAAGTCAGTCATGTCAAGGGTTCTGTTTACTGATAAAAGGTCGGTACATAAAACGTTGATGTCGTCCATGTATAAAATGCATTTGTTGGTCAGTCCTCCGCTCCCTGGTATCCCCACCCCTTTGATCCGTTGGTCCCTTCTCAAGATCTGTGCCAGGGGTTCAATGCAGAGGACATAGAGGAGGGCAGATAACGGACAACCCTGACGGACACCGCAGTTTATTTGAACTGCATTTGTTAGATGCCCGTTAACCACAAATTTGCTGATGATGTCCCTATACAGCAGTCCCACCCAAGCTATATACCTCTCTGGGAACCCCATCTTTTGCAGTACCTGGAAAAGATACTGGTGCGAGACCCGATCGAAGGCCTTTTCAAAATCTAAATTGAGGACTACTAGCCGAATGTTTCTGTCTCTCGCTAAACAGATGGTGTCTCGGGTCAGTATCAGGCTGTCGGTGATCTTCCTCCCCGGGACGGCACAGGCTTGGTCCGGGTGAATCAGCCCCTCTAAAAACACTGACATACGAGATGATAAAAGCTTACTAAAAAGTTTGCAGTCAAAGTTTAAAAGGGTGATGAGTCTCCAGTTTTTTAGGTCTGTCTTGTCTTTGTCTTTAAAGAGGAGAGTCACTATCCCTAATCTAAAACTGTCAGGAAGTCTGTCAAATTTTTCAAAATCCATAAAAACTGTCAAAAGGTCAGGTGCTAAAATGTCCCAGAAAGTCAAATAAAATTCCAGGGGAAGTCCGTCATGCCCTGGGGACTTCCCCCTCTTAAAACCTTTTTCAGCAGGTTTCCATTTCTAAAATGTTAAAATCTTGGGATAAAAGCACACTTCCTTCAATTTTATGTTCTATGAATTTCAAAACTTCTTTTAAGGCATCATGTTCAATAGGTTTTTCTTTATATAGTTTTTCATAAAAGTAAGTCACTGTTTCTTTTATTTCTTCTGTTGTTTATGATATGCCACCATTTTCTTTCTTAAGTTTGAGTATTGTTTTGTCTTTGTTTATGATTTTCTTAAAAAAGTATCTGGTGCACTTTTCACCTTCTATTTCCTTTTCTTTACTTCTAAGAATGACACCTTTACTCTTGATGTCAGCCAAAGCTGATATTTGTAGTTTTACTTCCTTTATTTCTTCATTAAAATCCATTCCATTCTGATTTTGGTTAAAATATCTTTGTAGTCTTTTTTGCAATCCCAACATGCGTCTATGTTCTTTTTGTTTTTTTTCTTTTTCCGGCTTGCCTAAAGCTTGCCTAGCTTGATCAGAAAAGAAAACAGGGGTTACTCTAGCATCGGTTGGCGGGCAATCTCTTGATAGAATATAATCTGTGCGAGAGGCTTTGGTGCCATCACCACTGAACCAGGTGAAGCCCTCCTCTCTGGGATGCATGACTTTAAAACAGTCGAGTAATTTAAAATCCCTGCATAAAGCCCCCAATAAAACTGATGTCTTGTCCACTTTAAAATCCTCCCCTGCTCCTTTCCTATCATTCCTACATAAAATACAATTAAAATCCCCTCCTAAAATCAGTGGCAGCCTGCCTAGCATGTGGGATTGCAAGTCCTCTAAAAGGTCATACCTGTCATTTTTGTCATTAAAACCATAAATATTTAATAGATTAAAATCCCTCCCCATAAATGTCAGGTGTGCTAAAAGTGCCCTGCCATCTCTCACCACGGTGCTGCCCTTCACCAAGACCTGGGTTTTTTTTATTAAAATGGCCACTCCATCATTTTTGTTTTTGTTGGATCCGCTCCATAAAGATGTGTGTGGCCAAAGTTTCTCCCACTCTTTATAATTGGTCATAAAAGGCAATCCGCACTCTTGTAATAAAAAACACATCAGACTTCAGGGAATTAAAGGATGATAAAACAGTCTGGGCTCTAACTTGCGACTTCACACTTCTCACATTGATGGTAGAGAAGGTGAGAGCCATAAGTATGGTTAAAAACAACAGGTACGACATTTAAAATGCTAAAATAAATAGGCAATCAATTTGTCAGAGGAGCTCTTCTTTCACGTTCATGGGGGGAGAGTGACTGAACTGAGCTCCAATTCCCTTACAGGCTCTACACGTCTACCTACAGGTAGACCATGCATTCAATTAACAGCCCTTCTAGGGGTTGATTGCAGAGCTATATTGAGAAAAGAGACCTCATTGGGTGAATCGGAGGGGAAGACTCTGAGATCCTCCACAGATGAACTGTCTGAGGAGCTCCCAGCTCTTCCCCTTTTCTCTGAGACTACGGGAGACTCAGAGGACAATTCAGACAAAGGTCTCTTGGCTTGGGCGTTGGGAAGGGTGGAGTCCTTGCTGTTAGTTTTTTTGGTTTCTGGGCTAGAGGTAGCCCCTCTGCCTGCACAGCTGCATTATCCTCCACAGACTCTGGCTGTGTCCGAAATGGCATACTGCCTACTATCTACTTACCTACTCAAGCAGTAGCTACTGCCTACTGACTACTCAAAGAGGATTTGAGTATGCAGCGGCTGCACAAGCGTTTACACACATACATACTAAATACCCCAGAATGCATTTCGTGCCGGCCGGACGCAGCGCCGGGAAAATTTAAATAGTCCTACCACAAGTAGGACTATTATAAATAAATTCATTCAATAATAATATTTTTTCTAGCGAGAAAGTAAGTGTTTACATCACGATTATGAGCCCAGTTGTTTGAAATAGTGGCTGTTTGTAAATTTGTCTCGGCGTTTTCGGAGACCGAAGCGTCCACTTGGTTGGTTGGTGTTTGCGTCTATTTACCGTAAACACCGGGCAGCAGCAGCTCCCCCTTCACGTTTCCAAATTATTGCGAAGTGTTTTCATAATCAACAACTACACGACACAAACCGGGCGGCAGTGGATGAAAAAAATCACACAAACATCTGTGTATCCATGGTGATAATGCTACACACCACCTGCTAGGCGTGTGATGAGCAGCAGAGGGCTGCAAAATGACCAACACACAACATAATTATTATGACCTTGTTCGGTTATTCCTTGGCAAATACATCATTTCCCCACTACCTTCTTTTCATGTACAATGATAATTTCAGAAACCATCAGATTTTCAACCACAAGAAAGAATTAGTAAAGCTCACGTACACTGTCAACTGGAAACTCCCCGTTTGTATATTCTGAACCATGTGCTCTCGACCAATAATAATTTTAACTAGGGCCCCGTTGGGGCACTGACGGGCCCGAGCCGTGTGCCCCCCCCCCTCCGCTAGTAGAGCGGATCAGTTGTATTGAAATATGTTTGATTTACAGATTTTTGTGAGTTTAGAGATTAGCTCTCATACAGTCTGAGCTGATTGTGTTGTTTTTAGATTTCTTGTATTTTCTTTGAAGATGCGCTGTGTCTCCAAGCGAGTCCAGTTTCTCACCTGAAGTGTGGAGCTTTGCAGCGGCATGCAAAGTATCTACTGAAACACTTGCTAAAGAACCCTTTGATCAATAATACACCCAGTACAAATTTTGTCCCTTTAGTGCCACTCAGTGGACAAAAAAAAGGGAGTACATTTGTCTGTACATCTGATAATAAAGTAGACAGTCCACAATTGGAACACAATCTTCTCACTGAAAGTCAGTACAATAACTCAAGATGTTTGAATGGTAAAATGAATTAATTCATGTACAAGCACAGTGGATAATTTGTAATATAAATAAATGATTAGAACTGATTTATATTATTTATTATTTATTTATCAGGGACAGTGCACAGTGATAAACATGTCAATTAATAAAGTTAAAAGGCATGTAAATGCACCAGAGTTAACCATAGATAGTTTTGTTTGTAATCCTAGAGTAGGTTATCAGAAATGGTGTGACCACGCATACAAAATGCATGTATTTAAAATACATTGCAATACATATACAAATTAAGATACAAAGGAAATACAAATTAAATGTCAAAATGTAATATTAAATTAAATTAAATGACTTGTTATTACAAAAAAGCTGAGAAACAATTTAAAAATAACAATTTCTGGTACATCTGAAGTGTGTGCTGCATCCCTTTTCAAGTGGAGTTGTCATAGGCTGACCCCTTGAGTAGTGGCGGGTTGAGTGGTTGGTTACAGGCTGTAAAGAAGAGACAATATGTTAGTTATATGTTCACATAATGAGAATCAATCAACATATAGTTTTAACACACCTGCTTAGCATGCATTAGTTTCTGGCTGGAGTTGGCAGTGGCTGATATCTCCTGTGATGGTGGTGTCATGGGATAAATATGTGGTTACATGTTGTGAAGAAGACATGACACATCAGTTACATAATCACACAGTTAGAATTCATGGTAATTACAATCATATACCACTGTTGTATGCATCCCTTCAGAGGAAGAGACACAATGCGTGCTTACACAAGTAGTATAGTGTATGAATGAAAATAGTTAAGTATAAATTGAAATACACACTTACCAATTGTTTATTGTTTCAGTAATCCATCAGGGTCTCATCTCACCAAAGGTGGAGTAATGATGGGCTGGTCAGTCTTCAGCTGGAGCAAACATAAGATGTATGGTATATTTGTTGAAACATTGAGGAGAGGAGAGATCACATCAGTTACATGCTGACAAATGAAGAAGTCATCATATTGGAGAAATGGTAACTAGGCGATTGCTAATGTTTTCATTCTTTGTAGTCAAGTTGTGATGTTCAGAATAATTGCAAGTGTAAATGAAGTGGAGAGGTTATATATCAAATGTTAGTTTGCATACAATCACCATAAATGTCCATCCAAATCATTACTTACAATGTGCTGAAGTGGTCACTCGCGTTGACATCATGGTTTGTCCAGGCGTTGTAAATTGATCCATCTGCCAGGCGTTTGGAAACCTGCTAAAACACTTTCAAATCTACTTTTCTATGAAAAGCATTAATAATATCAAAAACAGCAGTGTACATGATTAATCACAAATTTTAAAGCTGCAGTAAATACCTTCATGGTCGCTAAAATATGAAGGCATTACTTAAGCTTGTGTGTGGAAAATGCCCCCTCTCACATAAACATGATCAATCAAAGTGCCTCGCTCTGTGGTAGGCTGGGTGATCACCTGATCATAACCTCTATCTTGGAAAAATTTGCAAATTGAAGATGACTTCAATATGTCATCGTTGAAATCTCCCATGACAATAATGTTTTTGCCAATTTGTTCCAGCCATTGGAGTAGTTTGATAATATTTTGTTTGAATAGTGTCATGGGGTAGGTTGGAGGCCGATATATGACTGTAAGGAAAATGTTGAGGTTTATGCAGTGGTACACCAAACATTCCACATTGAAACAAGGCACCTTGATGATTGCAAACTGCATAATTCCACCACAATACATTGCAACTCCCCCATGTTCTTTTGCCTGCAAAGAGGCAAAGGGGGCAGTTTGACCATCATATTCCAGAGCTCGTGGACAACTATGCAGAGAGTAGTTGGCTATCTCGCGTGTCTCTGAGGAACAACCTGGATGCAACCACGTCTCAGTCACAGCAATGCACTCTGGCTGCAAATGCTGTGTGTGCTGAGCCAAGTCAGACACATGGCGTCTCAAACCCTGAACATTCATGAGGAACACTGTCAAAGTGTCCTCCACTTTCCCTTGCCAGGTGATAGGTTCTAGGAATGAAGCCATCCTTGAAGTGGCCTGAGCAATTTCTGGCCGACAATAGATTTTTTTTGGATTGAAATCTTGAATTATCAATCCCATAAGAGTCCTGACACGACTCAAAGCAACATAAACCTGACCAGCAGAAAACACCTTTTTCATACTAACTGTGGCTGTATCAACTGTGAGGCCTTGTACTTTGTGTACAGTATAGGCCCAGGCGAGACGAAGCGGAAATTGACGGCGCATACCTCCCTTCTTTGTCACTCTTTCTTCCTCTGGTGCAATAGCTGTGGAAGCAACAAGATGATTTGAAACCATTCCTGACTGTTTCCTCCTCTCAACACCAACTGCTTCATCATCAAATTTCACCAAAATACACAGAGGAAACTTTTCATTTTCAACACAAACTACATCTGTTACTGTGCCACATGCACCATTAACTAAGCCGTCAGCCAAATCCAAGTTTTTTGTCAACATGACACGTGACCCAGTACCCAACAACAATTCTGCATCTAAACACGTGTTATACGTTAGTGTATGATATCCCTTTTTCAATTCCAGTTTGCCTGTTTTTGAGTTGTTTATATAATCCTGAGCCTGTATTACATGGTAATCTGGACATGTTCTTTGCAGCTGCTCAAAGTTGTGCTCATTGACCTGGCTATTTGTGGCAAATATATGCAAACCTGAGCATTCTTCGCCAGTTTCTCGCTGTTTCAAAGTGGTGATATCACTTTGCAACATATCTGAGTCTTTTGGATGGGTCCGAACTCGATTCAGTAGTCCGGCAAAATCATCATCTGTCTGCCGAATTACTTTTGTCAACTTAACAACCTTAAAATGAGTGCTCCAAAGATCAACTCCAAGTGGTTCCATGTGTAACGCTTTGCCTTTCACTGGAGGCAACTGATAAAAATCCCCCACTGCCATGACGCTCACATTTCCAAATGGAGTGTGAGTGCCTGTCTGTTTAATTTGGCGAAGTCGGCCGTGCACATAAGTGAGCATATTGTGATCCACCATAGAAATTTCATCAATTATCAAGATTTGGAGATCACAATATTTCATTCTCAATGTGTTTAATTTTTCTTCACCTATTGGCACATAAGGGAGGCGAACATCTTTCCCTATGCTAAATGTACTGTGCAGGGTTGTTGCATGCAGATTATATGCAGCAATCCCTGTTGGTGCAGTCAACAAAATACTGATATTGTCAGGTTGTCGACACATTGGTGACAATAACCTTGTGGCCTCGTATTGAATCGCTCTGATAAAATGCGATTTTCCAACGCCAGCACCACCTGTTACAAACACATGAAAGGGGTCTGGGTTTCTACCTGCTGCTTTAACAACGCACCACTGATGGACCTTGTTTAACACACGCATCTGGTCATCATTTAAAGACCTGCATAATGCCAATCCCTCGCTTCTACTTAAATTGTTGCACTTAGTTACCTTAGCCTGCTCTACACCCCCAGCCAGATCAGGAATATGTTCCACTGGGTCATTGTCTACCTCTATCTGCTCTGCCCTTTCCTGGATTGACTCCAGGCGTTCAGTTTCTTGCTGTGGGAACAACTGCCCCCACGCATCTTCTACAGGACCATCAAAATTCACAGAATCAAAAACCTCATCTAAGTCATCGGCATCTATTTCATAATTGCAGCGATTTGAGTCCACAACTGACTTCACTGAACGTAGCTGTCCATCAGCAATGATGACACGGCCAGTTTTGTAAAAGTCTTCAAAAGTGACAAATCCCTCTGGCTTTAGCTGTTCTTCTGTGCGATACGGAAGGAACAGCTGCAAAATGCTTTGGTGAAATAACTCTGGACTTTTAGTCTCAGAGAATCTTGCGTACCTTACAACAGCAGGCTGCGTACGGGTTCTTCTCAACACAAACCCACAGCCGTTATCAAGTTCAATTCGTTTTTTTGATTTTTCACCTTTGTAGAGCACACGATACTCAGCAGCAAAATGGACAAGGCACATGGCTTCAAATATATGATCTCTGGGTCTGTTTTTATAACAGTCAACAAAGTTGATCATCCACATCTGTTCTGTGGATTCAGCAGCCATGTCTTTTAACACAGTCAATGGCTTGCTGATCCTGACAACATTGTCACCTGTCGGTACAAAAACCACCTTCCGAGAGCACTCTTAAGTGCATGTTGCTGAGCTTGTAGACTGCCTCCTGAGCTCCAACATCTCGGTTGTGAAGGTAAACACTGCCTAGCTTTTTCAAAGCCTGTTTGGCACTGAGGTTGTCTTCCTTGGATGCTTCGCGCTGTGCATTTGCTAACATCAATCCCATCTCTCTTTCTGCTTTTGAGATGTATGAAATGATGTAGACTACACAAGCATAAGCATCAGTCACATACTGGATATCCATGTTTGCATTCCAAGCTTTTAACAGAGTCTTGGAATGTGGGTTGATCCAAGTATCAATAACCTGGCGTCGCATAATCACCTCTGTCTTTTTCCCTAACCTCCTGTATGCTGCCTCAAATGTCTCCTGTCGTATACCTATACTCGCAAATAGCTCATCTGCAGTTTGAATTGTGCAGTTCTCGTCTGACAATGCTTTAGCTATTAATTCAAAAACCTTAACAGCAAATTCCCCTTCCTGCTTGTGCTTCTTCTCATTTTCTTCCTTGCCACAAGTGCACTGTTCTACCACGTTATGGACGTTGCGCTGACACACGCACTCCATCTCAACCTCCTTATATGCCCTGGAAATGAAAGTCCTAGCAGACACTGGTTTTGGGAAATTGAAGCAGCACTGTTTTCCACCTTTTTTACAAGTTTTGGAGTGCCGCTTTGAATGCTGCTGCACTGAAGAAACAACCTCATGTAAATCATCAGTGTTATTAGGTAGTTCACATGAAACATATCTATCAATAAACTGAACAACCTCATCATCTGTGTTCACATCAATTACAGGGGCATTCTCAATCCAAAACAGACAATGAACGTGTGGAGAGCCACGCTGCTGGAACTCCACCCTGTAAAAGTAGTCGAGGATTTTTCCAATCGGATTTGCTGGAGACATCAACACCTCTTTCAAAAACAGATGCCAGCGATAATCAAACATGCGAGCAGCGAGTACAGGATTACGACGCAACAGGTCGCACTTGTCTGCCCACTCCAGGTCCTCAAATGTCTGTGTTCGCCCCTCTGCCCTAAGAATGTTCTCTAAATATTCCTTCCACCGCAAATCTGCTGCAGAAAATGAACAAAACCATGCAGGTTTGCCAAGCTGTCGCAAGCATGCTAACAAATCCTTCTGAATTCCCTGCCAAAATGCTGGAGTACCCCTTACAGGTTTTAAAAACCGGTACCCATCATCATGATTTAAAAGGTCACGCAGGTTCTCTTCATCTTTCAAAACATCACTAATCTTTGTTCTAACCTTACTGGCTTTCCCTTTTCTCAACGCAATTGACACACTGGACATGACTTGATGTAACTCAAGCATGTAACAAGCATAAAAAATAAACTCCATATTCTGCGCAAACCTACCATCAGCATGATATAGCCTGTTGCTCAAATAGCGGAACAGAGTCAGAGAAAAATCTCTGTTATCAAAAAATGTTCCACGGCCTTTTGGAAACAACACGGGGAAACACTTGGCCTCGTTCTCCTTTGTTGTCAAAACCTTCACAGGGTTCTGTCCATCAGCTGGAGCCAAGTTCAAAACACCATCAAAATATTGGTCCAGCGCTTCCTGGCCAATATCAACAGGCATTGAGCATGTGTCTTGAAACATGCAATGCTGCTGCCGATCATGCAGAAGTTCTTCCTCAGGCATCTGCAGCTGAGAAGGCTGCAGCTGCAGCTCAGAGCTCTCTGCATTTGATCCTCCCTGTTCATCAACAATACTCTGCTGCTCTTTGTCAGCACTCTCATCCCTGCAAAATTCATTTATCCAGTCATCATTGAACTGCACATCTTTGTAGAAGGGATTGTTCTCTTTCAGATAATGCAGTGCTTTCTTGATATGCATAGGGTCAACATACTCGTATGCATAATGTCCTTTATAAGTAAGCTTGCACTTCAGTTTAACAGGAATAACTGAACCTTCCATGTTTGAACGTGGCAACGCGTTACTGGTTTGGACAATGTTGGCTGGAACACATGCAATCGGCCCATGAACACCATTTTGACCACCTCTAGGAAGAGCTACCATCTTCAAAAAGGGGATATGGAGTGCAATCAAATGCGACTCTAGGCGATTTAAACAAGCCAACTCAGGTGGAATCGGATCAACGGTCACATTATTGGATGCGCTCTCAGCTGGCACCTCACCTTTACTGACCTTGCCATGACATGAATGACAAATCCAAAAACTATCATGAGGGGAAGCTTTCAAAACACATGGTACGGCACAAGAAGACATACATTTATGCACAAACACATCTTTAATACATCTAGCTGAGACACGAGCTGTATTTGTATTGCTACTGTACTTGTCTATCTTACAACTCGAAACCTGGTGTTTAAACAACAGTCTATGGCACACACTGCACACAAAGGCTGGCCCATCTTTG